AGACAATTTTTTAAATATTGTTTTAGGGGTTCACTTACTTTAGTGCAACATTGTATGCATATATATATATACACATGAATAAAGATTTTAATGTTTAGCTATATTTTAGTTATATTTGAGATTTTACATATATATATATATATATATATATATATATATATATATATATATATATATATATTTTTTATTTATTTATTATTTTTTTATATAGATAAAAAACAATTTACTTTAAAATTGTTTTTGTCTATATGAAAAAATTATAATGAATAATAATTATACTATCAATATGATCCCTCTTTTGAATTAATGCTGTGAACATTAGAATTTATATATTATTTTTGTTCTCATTACATTCAAATATATATATATAAGTGGATAGTGAGGTCAACACACAGCAGCAACTATTGATCCAGGTAACCTAGTGGGAATTCTGTACTGAACACTTTATTTAATCTATGGGATTAGACTGTTCTTATTCCACTGCCCATGTCTAAGGATATCTCCTCTAGTTCTTATTTTTAGTATTGCTCAGTTATTGCTCGCTCTGTTTCCACAGAGTCCAACTACACACTGCCCTATGCAGGGATTGAACTCACAATTGCTATGTCACCAGTTCTGAACTGAACCTGTTATTGAATTTACAAATGTAGACTCTTCTTCTTGTCCCATTGCCCATGTCTAGGGATATCTTCTCTAGTTCTTATTTTTAGTATTGCCCAGTTATTGCTTACCCAATAGACACTGAGTTCAAGTACAAAAATGTGCTCATGGGATTTAACTCATCAAATTCACATTTTGGCTTTGAGATCAATCATTTTCACTATTATTTCATTACTATCTGATTTGGGATCTGTGATAGTTTCCTCTTAGTTTTTAGGGTCATATCCTTTTTCATGTTTTGTTATATATACCATCACCAACTAGGCTTGCCAGTTTTGAAGTGTATTCTAACTCATCCATCACCACTTTGTCAGCTGGCCACATGATGATACTAGTGTCACTCCCTGTCAACCTTTGCGATGTTTGAATTTTCTAGTACTAGTTTCACTTTCCATCTTAGCTCATCTGCTTGGAGTGTCAGGATCTTAAAGGCAACCTCCTTCAATGTGGCTATCATATCAAAGTAAGGAACTTGTCTGATGGTGGTAGTGAACTTGAGACCCTTATTTAGCACTGATTCCTCAGAGGCAGTCAACTGCCAGTTGTTGATATTGACAACTGCTCTTACTGAACAGTGGCAGGTTTTGTTGCTGCTTCAACTCTGTTCTTTCATCTGTGTAAGTTTCCATATTTGTCATGTTTTGACAGATGGGTATGCTCGGAAATAAGTAATAGCCAAATATAGCTTATACATGTATACATTTTATTGTGACCAAGAGTTTAAGCATGATGTGCTTGTACAGACTATCGACCACACTAGATAATGCACACTCTTCCAGAAACTGTAACTAAGGTCCACTCAGCATAGTTGCAGTTTAAAGTACAGGTGGGTTCTGTTCTGCATAGGCACAAAAAAGTCGAAATAGATCTAAGAACATACAGGGGTCATTAAAAGAGAAGAACACAGATATCTTTCCTCACCCTTTCTCGGACCAATCTTAATTGTTTTATTACCCTTCAAGCAGAAGAAATCTCTCACCACCAGTCCAAAGAAGACATTTGTGTCACTACCACACAAAAAAAGAGAATGTTTACCATCAGAAAACATAAGGAAAATTAATTCATTTCAACAATAAGTAGAAATATCCACTCTTTGCCTGAAAAAGGTCAAGAGACTTGAAACAGGTGTTATGGCAGTGTTTAGGGTCAAATCCCGGTCACAGCAGCCAGATTATGGTGGCGTAGCCGGGGCACGGCCTGCTGTCTTTGGTCAGTTCTTTTCTTTTTCTTCTTTTCCCAACCCGTTCTAATATTTGGTGACAGAACGAAAATTTTGGGTAACTTCTTTAAGGCGGCCAGACTTGACAACTGGATTTAACTTCAAGTAATGCTGTTTGTACTTTCAAGAACAACACAAGGTTTATTGTTGGAGTTTTTCTTCTTCAGCAGGTAATTATTATTATCATTATCATTAAGTTGGCAAAACAGCATCATGGCAGAAATCTCTTAACTCACAGTTGCAACTTTACTCCAACTGTAACTGTGGACCGCAACTGCAACAGCAACTAAATTTAGCCCCTGTGAGCAGTTGTATTTATGGGTGTCCCTTCCAACTGGTGTGGTGTGGGCAAATAGGTGAGTTTTAAGCAAATCTCCTAAAATTCAACCAGTCACCTTCATTCATTTTCTGTTTCACATTTCCAGTTTTGGAAGATCTTCTATTCTTTTGGGAAGAGCCATTATATGATGTCAGCCTTCCTGACATCATCTTCTGCCTTTACAATTGCTCCTTCTGTTTTCACAATTATAACTTTTTCTCAGGGAAATTTTGACTGATAATTTTCCCAGTACATGGACACTGACATCTTTCAACAGACAACCTTAACCTTTGACCCCTAAACCTGCCAGCTGTGTTTTGCTGAATAGTAACAATTGCATTGTGTAACTTTTCAACCTGTTCTCAATATCCTGGGAAAATGAATCCCTTTCTGACAAAAAAAATAAAATCATTTTCTTAACCCTTTTTGTCCGTATGCCATGTTAAATATTGTTACAGTGTTGCAAAATTATAGAAAATAAAGCATAACATTTTTTTTTAAATCCACATTACAAACAAAAATGTGGTTTCTCTCTTCTTTTTAAAATATACACTTTACTCTTATTGGAACAATTATAACCTCTTCCCTATATATATATATATATATATATATATATATATATATATATATATATGGAGGCATGGTGGAGTCATAGATACCAGGTTGGATTGAGGAATTGAGGACTTGAGTTTGAATTCTAGTTGACTTCATTACATTCACTATTCTGCTATTACCCTTGGAAAAAGATTATGGGTAAATAGCAGGACAGACTAGATCCTATAGACTTGTGTGGCAACCCATCTAGGAGAAGGATAAACTCTGAATTCATAACCAGTCTGGAAGGATTGAGCTCCATCAGTCTATCTTACACAGGAAACACCACTGCTACTATATATATATATATATATATATATATATATATATATATATATATATATATATATATAATTATAATTATAATGGTTGTCAACTCTCATTAAATGAGTTTGGCCATCACTGACAAGTTTCATCAATGTTTTTGGTTCTCATGAAAATAACAATGGCTCTTGAAGCCTCCAAATGACTTGCAATGCTTATTGCAGATGTGGCAAACTAAGTTGTTTTGTACAGGACCTGGCCTGTTTGGTAAAGTCTGTTTAGCTTGCTTGCAGCTTTTCATGTGATGAGTGATGTCACCCTGTATTTCAAGGGTAATGCCAACCATAATTTGTGAAAAGTCTAGCAATATGATTCTTATTGTGATTAATAAGGACAATAATTGGAGATATACTCTGCCATATTCATCACATGTAAATTGATGGATTTACTGGATCAGTGGTTTCCTCTCAGGCCTATTAATCCAGAAAAAGGTGTATCCATTATCAGCCTCCTGTAGCTGACCAAAATCAATGTTTTTTTAGGATACAGGTAATCAAAGCAGTCCTAAAGGTTTTTCTTACTATTCTGGAGAGTTCTCAATTTCCAAGATTCACTAAAAAGACCCTTAATGTTTGACTTCTTTATTGTTCTGGTGCAGTTTTGGTTACCCACTCATTTGCACCTAATGACAGGGAGAAAAGTGAGTAAGCAATGTTTAGGTCACAATTTTTCTCCCTTGGTGCTGTCCTAAAAAGGGCTGCATTGTCATAAAGGGAGGACAAGAACTACATAATTACTCACAGATGTACAAAACAGCCATCTACCCTTCACTATCCATGTGCAAAGTTCAAGCTGGGAATCTTCACCTGCTTCCATCACTATGACTTCAACACCACAGGTCTTTAAGAGCACAAAACATATTGGTGGTGTGCACTGAACAACATGCACCTTGTTTATAGGGGTCACTGCTTGTGCAGCACAATGCACATTCTCTGCATCAAAGCAGAATATCCTGTACTGGTGCACATTTTGCTACATCAGGTTCTGAAGTGATTACAGACTTTCAAAAAGAACTTCCTTTTCCTAGGAAGATATCATAACAAGAACTAAGAGGTCTCTCTCTCCCAGTTGTTTAACTGCATGCCCAGATACCAACTCAAGTATTTCTGCACACATATATTTACACTGGATGTTGGAGTAAAGAGTTTGTCATCAAATGGAACACATATTGTTATTACTATTATCAATTTCTGTTTAAATGATAAATAATACTATTCAATCAATAAATAAGAAAAAGATAAGAGAAAAAAATTATCAATAAATGTTAATACTGTTTGAATGATAAATGATAGGAAAAAAAATAGACAATACTGAACCAGACAATACTGAATACTAGCTACTATATTAGAACTTCCAAACCTTTGCTTCTTCAGGAGAGAGGGGAAAAAAATGTTCATGCTTCCCTTCTTCGATATTCGGAAACAACCTGTAATAGAATATCAGTAAAAAATGATTATACAAAAATGGCAAGTATTAAAACAAGTATTTAGCAAAATATTTGTTGAATCTTATGTCATTTTCATGAAATTTGTGCCAATATTATCAGCAAGGCTTGAGAAGTGAGGTCCAGTCGGTACTTTGTTCTGGGGCCCAAGAACTAAGAGCTCCACAGCAACTATGCAACACCCATCCTCCCTTGAGAACAAACACTTTCTACTACCCTCAGCCTGACATACACTTATATTCATATACTTAAACATCACTATACTTATAACACCACACTTCTTTTTATTAGTATTTATTATTAATTTTGTAAGCCTAGTTGTATAAACATATGTTAATATCAAAAGTGTCTACATACAGAATGGGGGGGGGGTAGATGCATAAATTAGCATAATGATGTGACTAGCACACACCAGAATGTTCATGTCATCATCTGCCTGCATGTATTATTATTTTGAGAAAAATCTTTTCCTGCCTTGTAGTCTCAAAGGAGTCTTGTACTGCCTTGCAAAATTTATCTTGGAAACCCTGATTATTAGTATGACCGCTATCATAAAACAGTAGGACATTACAGGTAGATAGGTTTTCTGTAGATGGTAAATCCATGAATATGAAGTCGCCTATGAAATAAAAATAATTTTCTGTATGGAAAGTAAGGACCTATGTGCATTGAATTGTCTTTAAATTAAGTGGCAGCAGAAGAATTATGGTTGACATTTTAAAAGGGAAGCTTAGTTATTAATGCAATACTTCAATTTTGAATTCTTTACTTTATTGTTGCTTATTGCATCTACTCCTCCCTATCTATTGTGATGAAAGCCCAATCAAGAAACTTCTGTGGGTGTTAGCTTAAATATCGCTTGATAGGGTGGCTTTTAAGCTAGTATAGTAGGACATTACAGGTAGATAGATTTTCCGTAGATGGTGAAATCCAGGGATATTAGAAAACCATATCTACATAATAAATGTGAATGTCAGTGTGTCACACTTTTTCAACTTTACTCCTAGAGGCCTTAGCCCAACATATCATACTATTTTTGAATCAGGTCGACTATGAGCAAATTAAAAACATTCTGAGCCAGATCTGGACCCACAATCTTGAAATTTTGGATTCCCAAGTTTTCATGACTGCAATTATTTTTGGCAAATTTTTGAATAATTTTTTGCAACAAATTTTTTTGTACAATAATAAATAATAACAATAAATTTGAGAATAATTAAAATTAATAGCAAAATCCAGCTAAAGTCACCCATGAAATAAAAATAATTGTTTGTATGGAAAGTAAGGACCTATGTGCTTGAATTGTCTTTAAATTAAATGGCAGTAGAACAATTATTGTTGAAATTTTAAAAGGTAAACTTAGATATTAATGCAATACTTCAATTTTGAGTTCTTCTATAGTTTATTGTTGCTTATCGTATTTACTCCTCCCTACCTATTGTGATGAAAGTCCAATCAAGAAACTTCTGCAGGAGCTAGCTTAAATGCTGCTTGATAGGGTGGCTTTTAAGCTAGTATAGTAATATACACAAACTTTCCACATGGCATGAGGAAATTTTAAAAATACAAGACTTATGAGACAAACATAGACTTTCTGTAATGAAGAATTATCATTATTTACATTATTTACCTGCAGATTATTTTCCTCATTTTTTTTGTTATTATCACAACATTTCAGCCACTGTATCTTCAAAGCTTTGTCAGGTTTATGCCAACCTAAATAACCCACATGAAATTTTAAACTGAACACTTTATTTAATCTACAGTGGTAAATTGTTCTTGTTTCCCTATCCATGTTCAGGGATATCTTATCTAGTTCTTATTTTATATTGCTCAGTAATTGGTTGCCCCTATTTTCACTGAGTACACACTGCCCAGCCCAGGGACTGAACCCACAATTACTATATCACCAAATTCACTAACCAACAGACAACAGCCTAGTGGATTAGTGTTGGTTGATTGAAACTAAACATAGAATCAGTAGTGCTTGATATAGTTTATCCCAACACTATATACAGCAATAAAGCTAAAATATTAACCAAAGAACTCATGTCATGTTCTTAAATAGTCTTGTTGGATTGAGACTTTTATATGAATGTCATGTATAGTGTCAAACTCATTCAGAAATATCTAAACTGTCAGCTGTATACAAACAATTTCTGTGATGGTTAGGTCTTAGTGAGGACCATCCTTTATTAAACCTCATGGACTGGTGCTAAAGAATCACATACATAGGACTGTATCAAAATAACCACATCATTTGAGGACTTTTAAAAGCTTCAAATATTTATCACATACGATTGAAAAAGAAAATATTGACATAATCAAGGTAATAGAAGAATGCAAGTGGCATTGTGGAGAAGTGGAGGCAAGGAGGAAGCAAGGCAATAGAAGATTGCACATGGCATTGTGGAGGAGTGGAGGTAAGTAGGAAGCAAGATAATAGAAGAGTGCAAGTGGCATTGTAGAGGAGTGGAGGCAAGGAGGGAGCAAGGTAATAGAAGGGTGCAAGTGGTGTTGTAGAGGAGTGGAGGCAAGGAGGGAGCAAGGTAATAGAAGGGTGCAAGTGGTGTTGTAGAGGAGTGGAGGCAAGGAGGGAGCAAGGTAATAGAAGGGTGCAAGTGGTGTTGTAGAGGAGTGGAGGCAAGGAGGGAGCAAGGTAATAAAGGGTGCAAGTGGTGTTGTGGAGGTGGAAAGGAGGGGACAAAGGTAATAGAAGTGTTGTGGCGTTGGAGGGTGGAGCAAGGAGGACAAGGTAATAGAAGGGTGCAAGTGGCGTTGTAGAGGGGTGGAGGCAAGGAGGGGACAAGGTAATAGAGGGTGCAAGTGGCGTTGTAGAGGGTGGAGGCAAGGAGAGACAAAGGTAATAGAAGGGGTGCAAGTGGCGTTGAGGGAGTGGAGGCAAGGAGGAGCAAGGTAATAGAAGGGTGCAAGTGGCGT